CGCAGCATGGTCATATCAATTGAAGAATGTAAAAAAATCATTAATCAGATTGTTTAGATGTGCAACTAAATTTTGAGATATAATTGGTTAAATAAAAAACTAGCATGAATTTATGCTTTTTCAACGTTAATTATATATGCATAGTTTTATGATATGAATGAAGTCTTACCCAAAGACATTGTGAAAGTCATCATTGGCAGGCTTAGAACTAGGGAAAGTGTACACCATAGCCTAATCCTTACAGCTGTACCAGCGTTAGATTGTTCTTGAAGTGGAGTTGAATAGCTTGGTGGTTAAGATACTTGCCTTCCAATACCAGGGTCATGAGTTCGAATCCTGTGAAAGGACAGAATTTTTTCTCATGACAAAAACACATCTCCATTGCCTAGGCCTGGTAAAGAGACTTCGCTTTTATTTAAGAACAAAGAGAGCCCATATCAGCCGACATTCTAGGATACACTGAAAAAGGGTCACACTCTAAAAATATGGTTAATAAAAATAATGGTACAGTATATGAAAAAAATGTTAAGATGATATAATTGATATGATGATGGTGAACAGTATTATTTTGATATTATTAATTTTATTTATTGTTTTATCAAGGATTCTGAAGATATGTCCAAAAATGTTGAAGGTCTCAACAAAGTAGATGTTAAAGAAGAGGAACAAAGTGAAGACAAAGTCGATGAGGTTATAAAAAATGAATCAAGCGAAAGTGAGGAGGAAGAAGATGAACAAGAGGAGTCTGGAAGAGGGCGCTTCAAATCAGAGCGTCAGCCATCAGTTGTGTCGCTTCCATCTGTTCGAGGCAAACGAGATATACCAGAAACCTTAGGTAAAACTATTAAGCTTAATTGGGTATTTTACTTTCAAGACTCTGATTTGTACAACAATGTCTCAAATTGGATATTTTTTTGGGAAATTTTATATTATTTCAGAAATTAGTAAAGAAGCCAAAGAAAAACTAGATGCGTTCAATCGCAGAAAAGAAGAAGAAAGACATTCTAAACGCAATCGACGTGGTGGCCGAGGAGGGCGTGGGGGTCCTCCTCAGCGCTATGGCCACTCCCAGCGTGGTGGCTACACTCCTCATGGTGGAAACTCACAGCGTGGAGGCTTTTCCCAGCATGGTGGACCACCCCAACGTAAAGATACGTCTCAATATGGTGGTCCAGGCCAGCGTGGTGGGTACCAGTCTCAAATGAGATTTCCTGGCCCAGGTCAGAGTGGAATGAGGCCACATCAAGGACTAAGGGGTAATCAACCAATGAGGGGCCAGCACCCACAGCAAGGAGCTCAACATGTGCCTATGGGAATGAATCCAACAATGTTTGGACAGCAGGAGCAAATAAGGCCTCAGATTGACCAACAGCGGCAAAGGCCGCTATTAATGCCTAGACCACAGATGCCTCAACAGCAACCACCTGGCCATCAGCGCCCACGAATAGAGACATCTCCTCAAACTGTACCCCAGCAGGAGACGCCAGAGTCTCACCAGCCTAAAAAGATCCATATCAACCCACATTTCAAGGGTGCTGTCCAGGTCTCGTCACATGGTAGGTTATATTATTTTCTTATCAAATGTGCGTACATCTTTTCCTTACTTGTTCAAAATCTGCTTTTAAGTATCTCAGTTCTTATTAACCAAAAGAATTTTCTAAACAGATGTTTGCTTGATGGACATATTAGAGAATCAGGAATAAGTAAATAGTAGTCGCATTTGAAAGTCATTTGTTTATTTTTCTTTTAGCTTCTAGTTGCAAATAGAATACTGTATGCATATGATAACTATCAGGAATGACAACCGTCAGACCATGGTTGTCATTCTTCGGACTATTTTATTTGCAAATAATCAATGTATCTTTTGGTTTCTAGTTACAATATAGTATGATATAATTTGATTTATTATACTAAAAAAATTATTTGCTTATAAAGAAAGTCATGCCATTTTTTTTTCTCCTAAAGGGCCAACGTGGAACAATCCCAACTTAGCAGTGTCTGGTCCAGCGACATCATCACCGGCAGTCCCACCAAGGATGCCTGTAAGTGCATAAGCGTAATTTCATAGACATTACTTTTATCTGTTTTAGCTGCAATGATTAAGGGTTCGTGGTATTTCTTCCACTCCTTATCTGTTCCCAGTTCTTTCTCCATACTTTCCTTTTTGACATCTTGTACAAATACTGGAATGTGAACTTTTACCACCTTCCTAGAGTCTACATCCCAAAATGCATTTATATCTTTTGTTATGGGGTAGCTGGCTCATCAGAGTTATAGCACTTTGCTTAAGCTGCCCCTATCCAACATTTCAATTTTTTTTTTTTGATATTGTGTTTTATTGGTACTGCAATTGTAAATGTTGATTAATTAAATAAATGAAATTAAGTGAATGTTTTATTTCATTTATTTATTTATTCCACCATTAAAATTATATTCCAATTTTTAAAGTGTAAAAGACAAAGATTAGGATTAGTCAAATGTACAGGTAATTTCCATATTCATTTAGATCTTACCCATTATTTTTGTTTCACACGATATAATTATTAGAGTGAAACCGTAGATTGGTGGATAAGATGCCTGCCATTTAATTCCAAGATCTTAGGTTCAATGCCTATGAAACACCAGACTTTTACTCAGTACCTAAGCTCATAAGGACCATTATTCTGCTCTGTAATTGGGATGTGTACTTACTGTTAGATGTGAAGGAATTAAAAGTAAAAAATTTACATATTTTGTGTTTGCTTCAGAATCAAAACAGACCACCAGATCAGTACAATAGGCAACACGTCCCTCCCTCATCATCATGGAATCAGGCCCCAAGGCTGACCCCAGCACAAACATGGACCAGCTCACAGTCAGGTTAGTTTTTTGAGTTCAACTATCCACATATTTGTAGTTCCAAAGAGAAGAGAACTACTAAAATAAATACAATTTTTGGGCAAAAACGTTATGGTTGCCCAGTACATGTACTTCAGTATTAGTAGTGTTATGTTAGTTCATAATTTTGTTAAATTTGTTTTTTCCATTGTAGGCCCTCATCCGTACAGAGACAATCAACCACCAGTATCTAGTTCACAACATTTCAGTCCCCCTCCCCATAGGGGTCCTGGACCATCACCACAAATGACACAGTCCCAGAATTCATATCCCAGAATGCAGGTAGGTTACCTCATCATTTAATTGTTGTAATGTTAACTAGTTATGTGGTTTTAATCTGAAGTACAGGGATGTCACCAGCTTTTTGGAGTGCAGGGCGGCGATCGTCCCGGGGGGGGGTCGCCGTCGTATTCGTGAAAGCTCTTAAAAACCAAAAGGATTAAGTCGAGCAGGCCTAGGCCCAAGGCTAGCTGACGC